GGAATAGGGCTGCAAGGCCATTTTGGTTCTGATCAACCAAACCTTGCTTACATGAGATCTGTTTTAGACAATTTAGGTACAACGGAACTTCCCATTTGGCTTACAGAGGTGGATGTCGCTAAGGACCCAAATCAGGTGAATAGTTTTATTTGAAACAATAATATACTACTCAGAATAAGTAAAAATTACACAAAACAACAAAACTGCTATGGTGGAATTGAAATTTAAGCAAAATTTTCAGAATATTTTAATGATGTCACATTTTATACTATATAATTACTTAGTAATTATTTTGATTATATTAGTTTTGTTCTTAAAATACTCTGAAATCTTGCTATATTTCAACTTCAATGAGATTTTGCTATATGTCTAAGAGGCTTCACAAGCTGAACTCGTGTACTCATTTTTAAATACCAAGTGACAAGGTAAATGAAGTGTCATCATTTATATAGGTAGGTCTTTAAGAAGTTATCGCATCAATTAGTAATAAAAAGTTGTACTTACCAATTGAGGATGATCAATTCCCTTGCTATGTCAGTTCATGTACCAAAAAAATTCGTACGAGAGTTAGAACCGGTTATGCCACAAGGCTGAAACTTGTTTCTGTGCAGGCTCAGTACTTGGAAGAGATACTTAGAGAGGGCTATTCACACCCTGCGGTGCAAGGCATAATCATGTTTGCAGGTCCAGAACTAGCAGGTTTCAATGTCACAACTCTCGCGGATATTAACTTTGAAAATACTCCGGCCGGATATGTTGTAGACGAGCTGATTCAAGAATGGAATTCTGGGACTCTGGAGACCAGAACAGACAATAAAGGATTCATAGATTTGTCCCTTTTTCATGGAGATTATGGTGTAACAGTGAAGCACCCTTTAACCAATTCCTCAGCCACTATGAGTTTAAGGGTGACAAAAGATAAACCGCAATCAAATATCCATGTTCTTATTGATACTTGAAATATCGAAAGCGTACAGTGATGAATAAATTACATAAAAGTGGTACAACTTCAATCTTCTTAGTAACAATTTCAATAATCTCTTCTTAGTTACAATTTCAATAATCTCTTCTTAGTTACAATTTCAATAATCTGAGATTACTCATGTGCCTCGATCGGTTTTTGCTTATATACTATTCAAAGATAGTGGAGATGACCATTCTTATATGACTCTACCTATTCATCAGGGAGTGAGCTATGTGGAATTTGGTGATGAGTTTGAGAAATATGGTCAACTGAAGCGTAAAAAGCGGTCTCAAGCCTTGCTATCATCATTTCTAGAGTGGTCAAAGAGGGTTCGATTCACAAGGTCAGAACATCCTACTTTTGACCCATTCAGACATCCTTATGAAAAGGACCAGCAAACATTTTGGAGATGGTTCAATGGTGATACAAAAGGCAGGCTGATCATCCGATGCGAGCTCGCTCTGCAAAATCAACACTTTTTTGAGATTATGTTGTGTAATGGTGCTTATATAAATAGTGAGGTAAGTTACTACTCTTTTTTAATAATTAATATATATCTTCTTTATAAATTATATTTGTTGATTTACTTACCAATTAAATTAATTTGTATTTTTGTAGCATGTGGATGAGATTTTATATTTGTTTAGGAAACGGATCGATAAGTTTCCTGACATCTTTCCCAAAGATATATGCATTCTCAATGATTGTTTTTCCCAGACATTGTGTGCATTATACAAGGATACTGTCAATTCAAAGACTAAAAACTTTAAAATTACTGCCCATATAAAAGACTATTTTATAAAGGAATTAGGCCAAGTAGGAAGAGATTGGGAGGGAGTTAGTCGTTTCTACGTACCATGGAACTGTTTAAACCGCAATTGGATATTACTTGATGTTGCTGTTTCATCTTGGATCGTAACAGTCTATGACTCGGTTTCTACGTGCCTTTCACTTAAGGATATAGACGATTCTGTGAAACTATTTCTTGAGTATTTCTCATTTTTGCTTAAGAAATCTGAAAAATTCTCAAGCTACACGGATAATTTCAAGTGTTCGATGATCTTAGCGCAATCAGAAGAAAATACAGTCTCTATTAACAGAAAGATGTAAGCTGTATTTACATTTTAGTTTTTAAATAAAAACTAGCCTCTTGTTACCTCTAAGTTTTTGTGTAAATTTATTTAACACGGGTGACTGTGGAGTTTACATGTTAAAGACATTAGAAATGCTCATGGCCGGAAAGTGCAATGAAGAAGCGCAAAAGTACCTTAATGACAAAAAGATATTAGATGTTAGACATAATATTAATCATCAACTATGGATCTGCATTACTAGCATTGAGCTTAACCGCGTAAAACTTTCTAACATCTAATATCCTTTTGTCGTTAAGGTACTTTTGCGCTTCTTCATTGCACTTTTCAGCTATGAGCATCTCTAATGTCTTTAACATGTAAACTCCACAGTCACCCATGTTAAACAAATTTACACATAAGCTTAAAGGTAACAAGAGACTAGTTTTTATTAAAAAACTAAAATGTAAATACAGCTTACGTCTTTCTGTTAATAGGGACTGTATTTTTTTTTGGTTGTGCTAAGATCATCAACACTTGAAATTATCCTTGTAGCTTAAGAATTTCTCAGACTTCTTAAGCAAAAAGGGGAAATACTTAAGAAATGGTTTTACAGAATCGTCCATATCCTTAAGTGAACAATACGTAAGAACCGAGTCATAGACTGTTACGATCCAAGATGAAACAGCAACATCAAGTAATATCCAATGGCGGTTTAAACAGTTCCATGATACGTAGAAATGACTAACTCCCTCCCAATCTCTTCTCCTACTTGGCCTAGTCCCTTTATAATAGTCTTTCATCTGAGCAGTAATTTTAAAATTTTTAGTCTTTAGATTGACAGTATCCTTGTCTAATGCACACAATGCCTGGGAAAAACAATCACTGAGAATGCAGATATCTTTAGGAAAGATATCAGGAAACTTATCGATCCGTTTCCTGAACAAATATAAAATCTCATCCACGTGCTGTAAAAATACAAATTAATTCAATTGATAAGTAAATCAACAAATATAATTAATAATTTATAAAGAAGATATATATTTGATAATTAAAAAAGAGTAATAGCTTACCTCACTATATATAAGCACTATTGCGCAACATAATCTCAAAAAAATGTCGATTTTGCAGAGCGAGCCCGCATCGGATGGTCAACTTGCCTTTCGCATCACCATTGAACCATCTCCAAAAGGCTTGTTGGTCTTTTTCATAAGGATACCTGAATGGGTCAAAAATAGGATGTTCTGACCTTGTGAATCAAACCTTCTTTGGCCACTCTAGAAATAGTTATAGCAAGACTTGAGACCGCTTTTTACGCTTTAGTTGTTGACCATATTTCTCAAACTTATCACCGAATTCCACATGGCTCACTCCCTCATGAATAGGTGATTTTGCAAATTTTTGCTTCAATCATAAGCTCTGGCCAAAAGGATTATAATAAGCATATGGAAGTTATTATACCACTCTTTATTTTCTCCTTCACATATAATAAATCAGTTAAGATTCGGAAAAAAGTATCTCGTGTTTTTCATTTACAGTCATGGTGATGTCACCATAGAAAAAAGTGTTTTTCTGATCATTTGTAACCAAACTGTTCTACTTGAATGAACTTTCTAATGCGTACTTTATCATAATCCAAGAATATGGTAAATATTTAACTGTCAGGACTTTAAAGATGGGACCGTGATTAGTGGAAAAATTAAGTTTAATTAAATGAGATTAATCAACAAAATCCAAAAAAATACATATTCACAAAATGAATATTAAAATATATTGCTCCGGAGTCTTTTTTTAACAAACAATATTTAAAACAGTCTGTAAAATCTAAGAAAAATAGTACAACTCTGAAAAGAATGTCAACCAATACAGTTTATCTACAAAAATACAGTATATTTCAGAATTAAAAACTGTAAATTCGAAACAAACTAACCACTTCGAATCTCGCGCCTTCAATCCATTGACATCCACTCGACATGCTGTAAATTTAAACCGCTAACTCTGGAGATGTTTAAATACATTTAAAACATAAGAAAAGTGAGCGAAATGCACAATAATATATAATTTTATAAAACTGAATAAATAAATAGAAGCTCAGGGTCCGAACATGTCATCCGAAACCAAACATCCTTTTTCTGAAAGGAAAATAAACTTAAATTACCTGTTTCAAGCACCAGCAAGTAATTTAATGATAAATTACTTACAACAATTGCATGGTCAAACACCACCGTAGTGGCCCGTTCGGATTTTGGGTCATGCCCCTAAAGATACGATCTCCATATCCTGATTTCTAGGCCATCAGCGTTGTTACCATTTCTTAAATCTTTTTAAGAAAATACCATATAAAACTATTCTTTAAGTTTTAATAATTTCAAATGCATTTTTATCTTTACAACGTTTTCATAGGCCAATATATTTAAAACATGCTAATAAGGATGTGGATAAAAACATCTTACCTCTTGACAATTTAATTTACGGATAACTTCACGTTGTCTAATCGTTTATTCTTGAAGCTCCACGTCCGATCATACTGCTAGCTTCGTCATTAAAACAATATTTTAGAATTTATTTCTCACCTTTAAAACAAATCTATGTTCAATCATGTACACTTATTTCTTATTAGTGTACATTGACTCAAATCCAAAGTTTGCAAACAACTTCATAATTCAACTTGGAGTTCTTTGAAAATTAGAACTAAATCCGTTAGTTTGGTTTCCCATTGAAATTTGGTTTTAAAACAAGTTTTTAAAGCATTTCTGCAATACCCCGACAGTTTGACAATCAATAAGAAAAATATCAAAAATCTACATTTTGAGTTCAGTTCCAAAACAAATTCTCAGGAAATCGCTGAAATTAGTTTCCAAACACTTCAAACAAGTTCAAAAACTGAAAACCCCTAAATGTAACCTAAGTTCAACTACAATTTATTCAAATCTAAACCCTAATTAAAATTCATCAAATCTAACTAAAATCACACTTTTTCAAGTTAGAAATTTAAATGTAAGAGTGGGTTTTTAAAGAAATCTTACTTCAAATTGATTGAGGAGTCTTGCTTCCTCTGTTTCTTTTTTCTTTCCAGCTTCGTCAGGAACAAACCAGAGAGAGAGAGAGCAAGGGAGAGAGAGAAGGACGCTGGTGAGAGAGGGAGAGAGAGTGGGTGGGTGGCGCCGGTGAAGGGGAAAGAGAGAGGGGAGGCCGGCGTTAGAAATCATAGGAGAGAGAGAAGAAAAAGAAAGAAAGAGACAGAGAGCAGGGAGAGTGGACCTGCGGGAGGAGAGAAAAGAAAAGGGGAGGAGAGAGAGAGAAAGAAAAAGGATGAAAAGAAAAAGACAAAAAAAAGAAAAGAAAAAGTATGAGAAGGTATTTAGAGAGAAAAAATGAATTTAAAATTGGAAATAATTAATGTTTTTTTATCTATAAAATTAAAAAAAAGATAATTTGAGTTTTAATTTTATTTAAGTTTATGTTCTTTTAAGTTTAACTTTATTCAACTTTACTCAATTTTATTCAAGTTATAACTTCAACTCAAGTTATAACTCAAATTCAACTCAAAAACTACACTCAAGTTACACTCTAAAAGAATAACTCCTAAAATTTTTAATGACATGATTAATTAAAAAATTAATCTTAGATACATTAATAAATTACAATTAACATAATTAAATTTTATTAATTCTTTCAGTTGTTACATTAACTCTAGTTATTGTGAATATCTTTGAATTGTAGGTCGTGTTTAGAATTGATTCCGTTTTTATTTTTCATATTTTTTGAGAAATAAAAAATAAAAACGTTTTTAAAATGGCGTTTGGCATAATAAAGATAAAAAATAGAAATGAAAATGATTTTTTAGTTTACTGAGAGAGAGAAATAAAAAATAAATTTTAGTCATTTTTCATTTTTTGTTTTCGTTTTCTTCTCTCTTGAGTAGAGAGAGAGACATTAATGAGTTTTTTACACTAAAAATAATCTCTTAATAAAACTACCAAACACATTTTTAAAAATAATTTTTGTCTGAGATTGAAAATGTTTTCATTTTCATTTTCATACAAAAAATAAAATCATTTTAGAATGAGCTTCAAATGCACCTGTAATGTTTAAAGCTTTGATATATCTAAAGTTTTAGAGCCAGTTTAGTTCGTTGATTCGAGTTTTTAATTCGAGTTGAGATATGATTTTATATGAGAGTTTTTTACTGTAATAAAAAAATTAAATATAACTATTTTTTAGAATTTTTTATTATAATAAAATTTATAATTTAAATTTAAGTTATTTCCATTCTTCTTGATTGGCAGATAATTTATCATTTTCACTCAGAGTAATGGGTAAATTTGTCTCTTGTCTCCATCATTTGAAGTGGTGGAGCACTGTGGCTCCTAAAAGATTGTATCTAGATATGTCGTACTATTGATGATAGGCAATCTCTTTTATTCCCAGATTATTTATTATCTCACCTTCCTTTTCTTATTTTTCGATTATTTATCACAAAAATAAAAAAAGAAAAAAAGAAACTATACGGATTCTATTACCTTACCACTTTTTTGGATTTATGCCTAATTAATTAAAGATTCATTTAGTTCACTGATTAAAATTTTTAATTTAAGTTAAAATATAATTTTATGTGAGAGTTTTTTATTGTAATAAAAAAATTAAACGTGATTATTTTTTAAAATTTTTTACTGTAACAAAATTTAAATTTAAAATTTGAATCGACGAAATGAATGAGACCTAAATTATGTCATTCAATGGACTCAAACAATATTAAAGCATAAAAAAAATCAATTAAAAAGCTAAATAACTTTACTTGATTAAACATCATGTTTTGGACACCGAAATTTGGAGAGCTGATGTAAGTCCACTTTTGAAAACTTGCATCCACAAACCGTTTTGCGCATTCCTCCGCACAAGAGATATAAAGAGATTGCCTAATTTGGGGGTAATGTAGAATTAGGTGGACGTTTGATTCATAGATTCAGAATTATTTTCGTTTTGTATGTATTTTTTATAAAAAAAAATACTGTATAAAATTATGAATCATTATTCAGAATTATTAAAAAATACAGAAAATAAACATTCCCTAAATTATTCTGCACGAACACTGGTTTCTATTTTGTTACTTGTTTGAAAATTATTTAACAAAATAATAACGAATTTTTAAATGATTTGCACTAATTAAATGAGCTAAAACATAATTTAAACAAAAACACGCATAAATTATAGTGGTTCATTCTCGATTTGAGAGCTACGTCCACTGTAAGTAGGAGAGAAATTTTACTATCTTTGGAGGAATTACGCGAACTAATGCTTTGAATAAGACTTAGGAATTTTTTGACCTACAATCCATTATTTATACCTTAGGTCACCGCCCCTCCTTATTTTCCTATTCAAATTCAGAGATATTTCCCTTATGTTTGGAATAGTTTTTCAAAAGATAGAGATTAAAATCCCTTATCGTTTGGAATAGTTTCCCAAAAGATAGAAATTAAAATCAATCAGGACGGTTTTCTTATTTAAATTTCATATATTTGAATTACAAATAGCAAATCTTGGAGCAAATCTCACAAATATTATCTCTTGTGTAGCCTTGACTTCAGTAAACGCTCCCAAAAGTTTCTTCGCCTACGATTGCAGGTACAGTCGACCTCATATTGTCCTTTGTATCCTTTCAGAACAGTCGATTTCCTTCGTATGTCTGACACTTCTTTTTAACAGTCAACTCTTAAGAGAATTGTCCACTAACGTAGCAGTTAAGATTGAGTTGTATTTGATTATTTAATGCTCTTATTTATGACGTGTGAGCCCATACAATATTTAATTTAGAGTTTGACATTTTACCTTACAACATTACTGCTAATAGATTGTCGCAATTGGAAATTTCGGATGTTGCCGATACTGAAAGCGATTCAGGTGACGGAGTTGAAGATAATGTTGCAATAAATCTAAAGTAGCTGAAGTATGATATTTTTTCAAAATCAATTCAAGATAAAAATAAAAAAAAAGGATCTTGAAAGAAAACTGTGATCTCTGTCTAAGAATTTTTTTAATAAGAAATGATAAAAATTTTAAGGATAAGTGATGACTTGACAGCTTTAAAAAGAGAATAAAGAAGAAACGGTAACACTAAAAAGAATATTTCATGTATATTTCTCTTATCACCTTTTTTATATTCTTTTCATATTCCTTGCTATATTCTAAATTTGGTGTTGAGTGAATAGTGCAACACCAAATTTGAGTTTCCACTATTCACTTCTACACCATTCACACCAAAATGGCGTGAAAAATGGTGCTTGGTTGGAGAAAATTCTCCACGGCAAACCCACTTTTCCACACCAATTTGGCGTGGGTTGGAGATGCTTCGGTTCAACAGTTTCATTATTGTCCCACTTTTCCACGTGTCAAAAAAATCCAGATTACTTGTATGACTTTACTAGTATCAAGAGTCGATCAAGCTAGAGGAAGCAAAACTACACGCGTGCCAACTGAGCATAACTACACGTCTGCCAACCAAGCAAAGAGAGCCTCTTACGTTTAAATTAAAATGTAAATTTATGTGAAAAAAGATATTATAATAAAAAAAATTAAATTTAAATTTTTATAAAAAAAAATACTATAATAAACACTTGAATTGTGAAACAATTTTTTTAGTTTCCGAAGAATTAATATTACAAGAAGAAATAACCATTTTAGCAACTTAAGTTAAAAAAAAAAAAAAAAAAAAAAAGGTTCAGCGAGTACACCATTCATTCAGCATTTTAAGTTAAGAAAAAAAAAACAACTAAGCAAGGCACGTATTACAAAGTAGAGAAATTGAATAATAGTATTTTAAAAATAAAAATAATTATTTAAAATTAATTGATTAAAATAAAAGAATTATGACATTTTTAACTCAACAATTAATATAATGCCAATTAAGAAGAGAAACATAAGCGTAAAAAGTTAATACGATGAAAATGCTTAAATGATACATTCACATTAGACAAGTATACTACATAAATAAAATGACGTTGTATACCCGTTCACTAAATAATTTCTCTTAGTTCGGAAGTTTTAAAGTTTTTGTTTAGTTTCCCTTTGAACTGACTGGCTTTCTCCCTGTTATTTGTAGAGCAAGAATATAAAAGTAGAAATATGGGTGGATAGTGTCTCACTTTGACCATTCACCAAGAGGCAGTGGAGATCCCAGCATGACCAAAGCATTAAAAAAAATGGAAATTTTCAGCAATCTATTCTTATTGAGTAACCAACCAATGAAGTATATATCCTTTTCACAGAATGCATATCCTTTGTCCACTATGATGGCTTTTCTTTGTCCATCAAAATGACATTTTCAAGTGTCTCTAAACAAAATCAATTACTACAGCTGCTTTATCCACTCCATTCTAACAACTTCGTTTAGTCCTAACCGATTAAGGCAATGTTTCAAGAAACTAATTTAGTGGACCAAGAAACAAGGATATACAGAGAGAATTGTAATCCTTTTCATAATCAATGACCAACTCTGATGAATCAAACTAATCGAAAACAATGCAGGTGAGTAGGAGCAAGGTGAGATTCCAAGTAACTCACGCAATAAATAATTTAAAAAAAAAAAAAAAAAGAAACGTCCACGGGATGGCGCTAAAGTGTCCATCAAGCAGACTCAAAAAGCTTCCTATTTGGATGTGGAATAAATCAAAATATCCTCACAAGAAGGGCCAACCAAAACTGGTTTGCATCAGGGTTCAAAGCTAGCACTTCCAACAATGACATGGAGTGGTACAGCACCGAGTTTAGGTAGGGACTGTCCAAAGTTTAAGCCTTCCTGGGTTAAATCCCTTTACCCTGATGAACTACAAAACCCGGCAGTAAAGCAAATCAACTCTGTAGTCTCTGGATATAGAGAAAAAGCTAATTGCGTAGGATGTTGTAAATGAGAATCTTCATTTCAGCTTCTTTGAGGATAAACTTGGTGAAAAACTGCTTATGCAAGATTCTGCCAAAGAGCTCAATAGCTTGATCCAAAGACAACCGTGTTCACAAATGAGTATAACACCATCGGATATAGCGGAGGTAAGGCCCCGAAACCATTTAACTACCACAAGAAACTTGTGGAGATAAAATGCTAAACTTTGAGCAAGATGAGGGTTGCAAGGTTACTTTGGTTCAAGTCAATCAAACATTGCTTACATGATATCTGCTCTAGACAAGTAGACATGGATACAAGAGGACTTCTAATATGGCTTACAGAAGTGAGCGTG